TTCTTGTTCTCTCTCCTCCATAATGAGCTACTTAGTCTTTATCTCTTACTCATTCGCATTACCATCCCAACTGTCCTAAACAGTATCAAAGTGTATCCTCTGTGACATGATACTTTCCCACTCAACCTTACAACATTCATCTATGACAATGTATCTGGTGAATTAGTGTCTGGGGTTGCCAACACAAATGCAGAGAAAAGGAAGCTGTCTTCCTTTGTAAACGATGGGAAGTCTCACACATCATTCCTAAATCAGGGCGCTGTCTTCGCCGGCTTCCAGTCAGAAGCACTCTATCACTCATGGGCCGCCCAGCACAGTGTATTCATCAAGGCAGACCAGCGCAATTGGTAGCTGGCAGTTTAAATGGGGCTGACTTGTCACGAGAGTGACAGCCTGGGCAATTGTTTGCCCTCTGGGAACAGGTGCAGGCAGGTTCAAATGAAACACATCCAAATACTAACGGCGAGATTCTTAATCATGTCAATAAAAAGGATGTAGTGGTGTCTGGGATTCAGTGGTCACAATATGCCTCTCAGACTTCTGAAGATGAAATGCTGTCTGGCTTTTCAACAGTGTTCCAAGGAGTCCATCACGCCATTATCATTTTTAACGCATGTTACTTATTTGCTGAATGAGATCTCTAATTCTGATGCTGTACATGCTGAAAGGTATGTTTTTGAATAACACAGGGGCAGATTATCAACATAAAAGGATGGAGAATATGAAAGCCTGGAGGTGAGAGACAGAAATAGTAATAAGCATTTTATTTTATAATAATGGTGATGTTTTAATGTAAATACCAAGAACACAAAAGACCCCTTTGAAAGGATAGTTCCATAACAGTATTATTGAAAAAACAAAAGTAAATAGGTGGCCCATTTTTTAAAAAAGATTTATTTACTTATTTGAGAAAAAGAGCTTCCGAGAGAGAGAGAGAGAGAGAGAGAGAGAGAGTCACTACCTAAATGGCCACAATGGCAGGGCTGGGCCAAGCCAAAGACAGAGCCAGGGGCTTCATCCGGGTTTCCCACATGGGTGGCAGGGGCCCAAGTACTTGGACCTTCTTCTGCTACTTTCCCAGGCACATTAGCAGGGAGATGAACTGACAGTCAATCAGCCAGGACACAAACTGGCGCCCATATGGGATGTAAGCATCACGGGCAGTAGTTTTAAACCACTATGCAACAATGCTAGCCCCTAGCTAGCCAACTTAACACAGGCTTCTAAATTTCCCAATATTTGTGAACTAGCTATGTGTTTTTACAGCTTTCACTGTATATCGGTTTTAAAATGTTATATGCAATGGGTTTATACAATGTCACTGTCTTTTTTTTTTTAAATCACAGTAACAATCATATAGCACAAATGTAGCTAGATATTATGGCACTAACCAAAGCTCCTTAGAGTTCTTGCTATTGGTAATAAGTGCTTAATACATACAAAGTAACATTTAGGAAATTTCTCTGTAAAGAATAACCAAAAAATAATACACAGTCTTAATTTTCCAAGTGTAAATAATTTATGTTGTTGTGTGATTAATTTGAGGGGCCAAATTTAACACTCATGAAAAGATGAGTAAAGAATGGCCGGCGCCGCGGCTCACTAGGCTAATCCTCCACCTGCGGCGCCGGCACCCTGGGTTCTAGTCCCTGTTGGGGCGCCGGCTCTGTCCCAGTTGCTCCTCTTCCAGTCCAGCTCTCTGCTGTGGCCCGGGAGTGCAGTGGAGGATGGCCCAGGTCCTTGGGCCCTGCACCCGCATGGGAGACCAGGAGGAAGCACCTGGCTCCTAGCTTTGGATCGGCGCAGCGCGCCGGCCGTAGCAGCCATTTGGGGGATGAACCAATGGAAGGAAGACCTTTCTCTCTGTCTGTCTCTCTCTCACCATCTAACTCTGCCTGGCAAAAAAAAAAAAAAGTTAAAAAAAAAGTTAAAAAAAAAGATGAGTAAAGAATGGCCAACTATTAATAGAGTTTCATGAATGAAGGCACTCAAGCAAGGCTCCTGAAGCAGAGTAGAATCATGGGAGAGGAAAGGGATGAGCTGGAATTCGGTTAAAGGCCTGGCAGCAGATAAAGAAGCCTATACAGAGAGAAGAAAGATCAATTTGGGTGCAATAAGAAACTGTCCATTTTTATTTACTCTTGTAAAAAACAAAATAAGACAAAATGCAGAGCCTAGAGAGTGGGATAAGATGAAGAGCTCAAGATCAGTACTTTGAAAATGCATATTTTAAGGAAAAAGAATCCTTTTGTTGGAGATATTTGTTTTAATTTTAGATAAATTGTTATTTTCTGATTTTAGAGAAATGTTATATTTTTCTCCAAAATGCAGGCTCTGAAGTTGGGTAACGTTTGTGTCTTGGTTCTACTACTTTCTGATTGTGAGTCTTTGGGAGTGATTTAATCTTTCAATTACCAAGCTTACTTATTTGTAAAACTGTGATAAAAGAAAAAGAGTAACTATTTTTAAAATTATTTGAGGTAAATATCATTTCAATAAAACATTTAGCACAGGGTTTAGCACATAATAAAGTCTTAGTAAACAGCATCTATTCTGTGACCTAGTACCTTTCCCAATATAGGATTTCAATTAGTTATATGCATGCACCATTCAGTGTTAAAGCTTACCTATTACTGTCAGTTATTCAATAATTATAGGTGTAAGTGATTAAAGCTGTATCCTCTATTTGAACAACAAAAAATTTAGAGTCCTTTGTGTTTTTTCAACAGCTATTCTTATTTGCAAATACATTTTCAATCATTTCCCAGGTTCAAGTCACTGGGAACATTCCTTAAAATTGTGTGGATTCAGGTATCATTTTTCCATAGAATTATTCAACTTTCTGTGTGTCACATAGGAATATAAACTTAACTCCAATATTTACATTCAAACCGAGAAAAGAGCTTATATATTAGGCATGTGTAGCCCCAGAAACATAAAATTTAAGTATTAATGGTTATTATAAAGGTCTGGTTTAAGATTTTTAACAATATTTTAATCCCCAACATTAATTTTAAGAAGCTCATTCAACTATAACAAAAATGAATGCAAATTGTGTTTTCAGGTTTACTGATAGTTAACATCATTTAATGTTTCTTACTGTACTTCACTCTTTACCCTGGCCATCAGGGAAGCCCCGGACTAAATGTTTAGTTCATGCATGGTCATGGTACCATCTCTGGTTCCCAGTAAAATTATCTTCTATTTTGGTGCTGGTGCTTTGGCATAGCGGGTAAAGCTGCCGTCTGCTGTGCCAGCATCCCATAGGGGTGCCAGTTCGAGTCCCGGATGTTCCACTTCCAATCCAGCTTCCTGCTATGGCCTGGGAAAGCAGTGGAAGATGGCCCAAGTCCTTGGGCCCCTGCACCCATGTAGGAGACCTGGAAGAAGCTCCTGGCTCCTGGCTTCAGATCAGCACAGCTCCAACCATTGCCGCCAACTGGGGAGTGAACCAGTGGATGGAAGACCTCTCTCTCTCTCTCTCACTTTCTCTCTCTCTCTCTCTCTCTCTTTCTGCCTCTCCTTCTCCATGTAACTCTAACTTTCAAATAAATAAATAAATAAATAAATCTTAAAAAATTATCTTCTATTTTAATCTATGTTGAGTAAGATTTGTCTCCCCAAAACTCATACAGATGTTTAAACTGATATCTTAATGCAAAAGGTTGATGCATTATAGGTACAGATTTGATCTTATCTTGACAGCTAGGAAGTGAGGCCAGTGGGAGGTCATTAGTCATTAGTGGTGTGCCCTTGGAGGGCAGTTCTTACAAGAGGGTTGATTATTTGAGTTGAAATTCTATGGAGCTGCTCTCTCTTTCCCTGCTTCTTGAGTCACTGTGTGATGGTTCCCATGCACCTGCCAATATGAACTTCCACCACACACTGGGCAATGGGACCACCTATTCCTGAACTGTAACTTCCAAACTGTAAGCTGAAATAAGCCCTTTCTTTCTCAAGAAGTTCCTGTTGGGTATTTTAGTTAAAGTAACAGAAGTGGATCAATACACTAATAACTCCTATTCTTTATTTTATTGCCTTGATGTGTAACAGTGAATGAAATTTGAAAACAGAGTGGTTTGGATTCTTTTTCGAGGAGAGTAGAACTAGAAATTAAATATCCTCTCATGATTACTTAGATTACTCTTACTTTATATTGTTCTAATATACTTCTTGTATTCAAAATTTTGAGGTTTCATACAAAAAAAAAATTGAGAGCTGAAAAGAACTGAGAAAACAGACAGCAACTCAAAAAGAGCCATCATAATGTGACTTTGTTCTCCAGTCAGAAGGAAACTGCAAGGACATGCATATACTTAAATGTGAGACAGAACTATTATTAAGCCTTTTATATGCCCAAGATGCACCAGGAGAGATCTTTGAGTAATAACCAGAGTCTTGGTCAAACCTTTTTATAGGACAAAGAAGAAAATGAGTTCTTCCCCCTGCCCCCACATTAAATAGAATTCAGGTGAATGAAGCTCAAGACTCTGAAAAATTTAAGGAATACTTCAGATGGTGGGGTTTTTTCTATACCTGAAAAGTTCTATATTTTGCCTGTGGACATTTACAGTGATTTCAGGCTTAAAGTTTATAAGTAAGCCACTAACTCTTCCATGGGATTAATATGCCAACATCCTGTGTTCAAAGTGTTTTTAAAAAAATACACTTAGGAAGCAAACTCTCAGATTCCCCTATAATTAAGTAAAAACCACATTTAATTTTTTGAAAGCCATGAAATATGTGTGTGTAAGTGGAAATAATAAGTTTCCAAGTAAACAGATGACTGTCACTACAGGCTTTACCCGGCACCCTGTTGAAAAATCCCCGCAAACTCAGGCAAGAAAAAGGACGAGGAAAGCTCTGTAATTATCTGTGGAAAGTTAGGGAATCACATGCTAAACACTCCCTTATGAGACGATTATCTCATTAAATATAAAGAAAAGTAGTAAGCACACTGACTAGGCAGCCTATGTCCTGGGATAAACTGAACAACTCGCCTTGTTTGTCCTCTTCCGATTCGCTCTCAGAGCATCCATCATCCCCATCTTTCACATTGTCATCAGCATCTGGTGCCTTCTGTGATGAGGTTTCACTCTCCCTTTCAGGGCCTAAATTATCTTTTTCATCATCTGAGGGTGACTTTGACATTCCATTCATTTGATCATCAGCCTGTCCTTCTTCATTAGGTTTCTCATTTTGTTTCTCCTCATCGACTTCAAAATCTTCTTCATATTCTGAAAAAAAGAAAATCTCCACTCTAAGAAAGAAAATAGAATCCCTGGTGTTTAGCCCATTTCACATTAATGAGAACTTTGACTCTATTATCCTCTCTTCTCAGAGCCTTTCTTCTTCTTCTTTTTCATATAATTAGTGAACATGGGACACTAACAGCAAATGATCAAAGATTACAATCAGCTACATACACCAGAGCACAAAAGAAATGGAGTTCCCAGTGACAAGGCTGGAACCTAATAAAAGTTCATTTACAAATGGACATCATCATTGACAATGGCCAAAATGGAAAGAGAAGAACACGATATAAAACAATAAATTAGAAATAAATTAAAAATGAAGAGAACAGGATTACAATAATGAAAGTTAATTTGGCAACCCAATGAGGTCATATTTCATATGAGAAATGTTCAAAATATTTGGATATCAAGTTAATGAATAGTGAAGTGGAAAAATTCAATTAATCAAGTCTAAAGGCCCTGAGAAGTAACACTGTGAATAGCACATTCTTTGAGAATCAAATGGACATCAAGAAAAGGCATTATGAAGGATCCATGCCTAGCCCAGAACTGAAATCACATGCATTATTCATTCCTACAATAAATGAAATAATTACATTCCTAGGATAAAAATTCTTGCAAAATAAAATATTCCTGTCACAGCCACAAATTTGCCTCATTCCCTACAGAGCGACAACAAATATGTAGCAGGAAAAAGAAATTGTCACATCAGATAAGCTCCAACTGTCCCTTGTGGTTATAATTTTTCACCTTTCATACTTAATTGTTCCCCTTTTTCTTACACCAAAGACTAAAAATCTTGAAGTGACAACATGCCAGGGATAGAGAGGAAAAGGATCTCATGCAGAACCAATTAAGCAAATAAACAATTATCCTTAAAATAGAAATTACAGGGAAAATAAGGTTTCCCAAATTTGTGTGTTTTAGTTGTTAGATATTCTGGCTTCTCTTCCAGAGATGGAGACCTCTCGGGTAATTACTTGAGAGCTGTCCACCCTGCTGCAATGAAAGAAACTTAATTTAGAAATGTATGCCCCTTGCCTGCAAAGAAAGCTCTGCTAATGAAGAGAAGACATCAAGGCAATGTAAGAGGAAAAGTGAAATCAAAAACACTAATGAAGAAAGACAAACAAAGAGAATTAATCACAGAAATGTTTTCAGAAAAAAATCTAATACATTTAAAGAAGAAATGTAAACATCAATAAAGAAAAATTGTAAACTAAGCAAGAAGATGAGGCTGGCGCTGTGGCACACTTGGCTAATCCTCCACCTGTGGCGCTGGCACCCTGGGTTCTATAACCGGTTGGGGCACCGGATTCTGTCCCGGTTGCTCCTCTTCCAGTCCAGCTCTCTGTTGTGGCCCAGGAGTGCAGTGGAGGATGGCCCAAGTGCTTGGGCCCTGCACCCACATGGGAGACCAGGAGGAAGCACCTGGCTCCTGGCTTCGAATTAGTGCAGCGCGCTGGCCATAGTAGCTATTTGGGGTGGGGAGTGAACCAACGGAAAAAGGAGGACCTTTCTCTCTGTCTCTTTCTCTTTCACTGTCTAACTCTGCCTGTTCAAAAAACAACAACAACAACAACAACAACAACAAGATGGAGAATTTGGCTGATACTGCATGATGCAAACAGGACATACTAATGAAAACAAATATTTCAATATTTCACCTAGTTAACTGTGACTTAGTGAGCCTTTATTGAGAAGCTTCTATGAAGAAGACAATAAAATTGGAAGATTAAAGATGTTACAATAAGACAACCCTGCCCTCAGGGAATCTCCAGCTTTTGTTCAGCAAATAAGAGGTAGGTGCACATGAAATGTTGTGATCATTTTATAGTAGTTTTTATGCATAGTTCTCCATAATGCTAGTCTCAACACTACTGGGCTCAACTGCCACAGCTTTTTATATAGGACTTGTAATAAATTTTACTGTCAAGCAGACAGGGTGGAATCAAAGAAGAATGGAGGGTTACTTTAGGGGATTGTAGAAGATTTCATAAAAGTAGGATGCGAGATTAGCTGAAGCATAGACATACAAGAAGACTTCAAAAGGTTCAGGGAAAAATGAAATTAAAAGGCAAGTTTGTTTTAGTGCAAAAAATGTTGAAATCTATGTATACTTTTTTCGTAATTTCATGAATTTTCTAAAGACTCTCTATATGTAAGGATTAAATAAGCTTATCTTTCAATTCCATTTCCTGTAGACTTTTTGAAGTGTCCTAAACATGTATCATTTTGTAGCTATTTGCTGCTGGTCACAAGATAAGCAGGGCACCCCACAGAACATGAGTCCACTGCTACAACTGCATCCATAGTGCTTCAGGGTGAAATGTGAAGTTCTGCGGTCAGTCATGTGTCACAGTTCAAACACTTGCTAGCTCTGTAACCTTGTACAATTTGTTTACTAACTTTAAGCTTCAGTTTCTTCATGTGTAATGTGACTAGTACAAAGTTGTGGTGAATATTAAAACCAGTAATCCCTGGAGCATGTTTAATACCATGCCGTGAACACCAGGCACCTAATAAACACAGGAGATCAGCAGTAATAGCGGTTGTGACGGGGAGTGGAGGGAGCTGGTCATGGAACAGGAGAAAGCACACTAGATCTGCACTCCATAACAGCAATCCACGTATAATGGAGGCACCTGATTAAAATCAGAGCAGTATTAGCGTCCTCAATTAGGTCACAATTATAGTTACGTTATGAAGCAGAGCAGAAAATTGAAAAAACATGGCAGTGAACCACAAGAAAAATCCTTGCAGCCCATTTTGCAGGCACTTCTGTGCCTTCTTTCAAAATATGAAATGTCAGGCAGCCCTGGCATTGTTCTATCTACCACCATCACATCTAAGATCAGCCTTATGTTAGCCTTAGGAGCTCTGTTAGCATTAGGGCTCAAACCACACCACCTCGGTGCCACCTACTCACGTTTTTCATATGAATGAACTCCTGGCAAGCTTTCTAGAATCCTTTTCCTAATTTCTCCTGTTCCCTCCAAAACACTTTCCTTCCTCCAGAGAATTTAATTAGCTTGTTGTTTCCCATCCCCACTAATGAGGACCCGCGTCAACACCAGATCAACATCAATCTACTCCTCACCTTGCCCCACCCCCTGACCTCCACTCAAGCCCCTTGCCGCCCTCACATCCACGGCTGTCCTGCAGAGAGTTAACGCTTCGCTGCTGGTGCCACTACTGCTGTTTGTTAATAGGAATGGACATCTAAAGTCCACCAACTCGAAGAAAGATCTCAGGAAAAGCTGTGTCATCGGTATACGTATGCCCCTGATAGCACTAGCCATGTTTGTGTAATTAAAAAAAAAATGAGGAAAGTGAACAGCTTCTATTGAACATGACTTTGATAAAATTCCACATCTTTAAACTTAAATCACAGGAAGCCATATCCTGTTTGTTAATTTCCCTGTGATTTCTGTTGCTACAGATATTTTTAAATTCTCAAAGATAAGAACGAAAACTAGAAGGAGTCCCGGAGTGAGGTGACCTGGGTCTTTGGTAAGAAAGTCACATTAAGCCAGCACCGTGGCTCACTAGGCTAATCCTCTGCCTGCAGCGCCAGCACCCCGGGTTCTAGACCCTGTTGGGGCACCGGTTCTGTCCCGGCTGCTCATCTTCCAGTCCAGCTCTCTGCTGTGGCCTGGGAAGGCAATGGAGGATGGCCCAAGTGCTTGGGCCCTGCACCCGCATAGGAGACCAGAAGGAAGCACCTGGCTCCTGGCTTTGGATCAGCACAGCACGCCAGCTGTAGTGGCCATTTGAGGGGTGAACCAACGGAAGGAAGACCTTTCTCTCTGTCTCTCTCTCACTGTCTTAACTCTGCCTGTCCAAAAAAAAAAAAGGAAAGTCACATTATTTCAGGAATAAACAAACATAAAGTCTGGGCCATAATAGCCCTGTAATTACTCTTTTGGATTTCATTAACCCTCCAGCAGCACCAACATGAGCGGAGGAAGAAGAGACCTAGAAGTGACCCCTTCCAGCCTTTCTTCAGTCAGCCCAGACTATGCTATTGTTCCTCGAACCCAGGCTTTAGCTCCAGGGTATAAAGGGACCCTCAGGCAAATCCTTCTCTTTGACTCTTAGGACATCACCCACAATGATGTAGCATCCTGGAGAGCTTGTACAGAATAGAAGATTATACAGTGTTTGGAAGTCCAAGTTTTGGAATTAGACAAACCTGGTATGAATCCTAGTTCTGCTCCTTTCTCTCTGTATGTCTGCGTCTCGGTGCCCCAGTTAAGTGCAAAGTAAGTGATTCAGTGCTCTGTGCCTGGCACTTTGTTATTGTTGTCAGTACTACTTTTGGTTGTCTATATACAGGTATGTGTGTCTGTACGTATACGAATGTGCAGGGTAGGTGGGAGAGGAGCGGAGTAAAGAGAGAGGACAGGAGAAAACATAAAAGGCAGACAGACAGGTTTTAGCACCCCAGGCATGTCAACTGCTTTTAGTTATGGACTGCTCTATCACTATATAATCATGTAGGTTGTACCTACCTGGCGCAAAGGAATTCATTAATTTTTGCCTAAGCAAGTGAATTGAAAAAGTAGGCCAACAAAGTAGGCGAAACTCCCTTTGCTCAAAATGGTCTCTGTAGGAATCAGTAGAGCCTCTGGCTTACACAGATCCAAACCCTGCTTCCCCTCCCTAGTTCTACACCAAGAAGCACCCTTGGCCCTTTTGGGTTTAGGTGAGCCCCCAAGCAGGCAGGTGAGGAAGGACTACATGCAAACAGCAGAAAGAGCAGGTCAGAATTCCTCACTTCCAAGAGAGTTGCCTAAAATGCACCTAAGTAGCAACATTGATGTATATTTTGATAATCACATTTTAGATTTAAACAAAACAACAGCAGCAACAACAAAACAGCCCTGTGTTCTTGATTACCGTATTTGAAAGTATTTTCCTGGTATTCTTCCCAAACATCTTCTGATTTTCGTTTATGTTCCATTTCTTCTATGGCCGTTCTCACATCTCTGACCCCCATTTTTATTTCTTGAGCTGAAAAAATGGCTGACATAGAGATTTTCTTCCCCTTCGTCTCATTTCTCCTTGGTATCAGGTACTCTCTATCCTTGCTGAGTTTCATGTCACTCTCCAGTTCCTCTCTCTTCTCAGAGACCTTTCCTTTTCTATGTTTTGCTGAAGATGTTTTTGTGTCAAGGCCCATTGCAATAATACACCTATTAAAAATATTAATAAAAAAATGTTAATTAGCCCTTATAAATAGCACAGTGGGATCTGGGAGCTTTTTAAACCACATCTCTTATCCTAGTAAGAAATTATTTTTACTACAGTACATATAGGTTAGTTAAAAATAGTTATTTTCTCTTATAAGTGAACAAAACAAATTCCTAATAATTTTACCTATAATAATAAACAAAGAAAGAAAACAACTTATTACCAAGAACTATGGTATCAATCAAAATTTGTGCCTTAAAAATATTTTTGTGATCAGAATGAAGCCAGAAATTAACAATTAAAGAAACTGTAGGAAATACACAAACACTTGGAAACTGAACAACATGCTCCTGAATGAGCAGTGGATTACAGAAGAAACCAAAAGGTAAATTAAAAAATTCCTATAAAATAAAGAAGGTGACAATATAACATATCAAAATTTATGGGAAACAGCAAAAACAAATGTTAACAGGATAGTTTATAGTAATTAGTGCCAACGTCAAGAAATTGGATGGGCATCAAATAAATGATGTAACAATTCATCTCAAGGATCTACAAAAGCAATAACAAACCAAATCCAAATCCAAAATTAGTAGGAAGAAATAAATAATAACAATTAGAGAATAAATAAAATTGAAAAGAAAAAGATACAAAAGATCAATGAAATGAGCTGGTTTTTAAAAAAAAAAAAATTGATACACCATTGACCAAACTAACCAAAAAAGGTAGAGGTAGAGGAGAAGACCAAATTATTAAAATCAGAGATGAAAAAGGAGATGTTACAATGGATACCACAGGAAAATAAGAATTATCAGGAATTTTTACAAACAGGTATATGCCAACAAATTGGAAAATCTAGAAGAAACGGTCAGATTTCTGGGCACATACAATCCACCAAAATTGAGTCATGAAGACATAGAAAACCTAAATGGGCAAATAAGCAAGATGGAGATTGAATCCATAATAATGGCTCCCCCAACAAAGAAAAATCCAGGGCCAGATGGCTTCACTGCTGAATTCTACCAAACCTTATAGAAGAACTAACTCCAATTTGTCTCAAATTATTCAAAACAATAGAAGGGGAGGAAATTCTCCCAAACTCCTTCTATGAGGCCAGTATCACCTTAAATGCAAAACCAGAAAAAATACAATAAAGAAAGAGAACTATAAACCAATATCCCTGATGAACATAGATGCGAAAATCCTCAACAAAATACTAGCTAATCAAATCCAACAACACCTCAGAAAGATCATTCACTTGGACCAAGAGGGATTTATCACTCGTATGCAGGGATGCCTCAATGCATGCAAATCATTGAATGTAATATACCACATTAATAAATTGAAGAATAGAAATCATATGATTATCTCAATAGATACAGAGAAAGCATGATAAAACACGATCCTTTCATGATAAAAGCCTTAAGAAAAGTGGCTATAGAAGGGACATACTTCAACACAATCAAAGTGATATTTGACAAACACACAGCCAGATTCATACTGAATGGGGAAAAGCTAGAAGCATTTCCACTAAGACCCAGAACCAGACAGCAATGCCCACTCTCATCATTATTACTCAATATGCTTCTAGAAATTTCAGACACAGCCATTAGACAAGAAATAGAAATCAAACTGATACAAATTGGAAAGGAAGAAGTCAAATTATCCTTCTTTGCAGATCATATAATCCTATACATAGGGGAACCATCAGACTTCACTAAGTAACTATGGGAACTTGTAAGAAAGCTTGACAAAGTTGTAGGATACAAAATCAATACACACAAATCAATAGCTTTTGTATACACAAACAATGCCATGACTGAAAAAGAACTTGTAAGATCAATCCTAGTCACAATAGCTACAAAAAAATTTAAATACTTTGGGATAAATTTAACCAAGGATGTGGAAGATCTCTACAATGAAAATTAGAAAAAATAAAAAATAAATAGAACACACAAAAAATTGAAAAAAAAACTTCCATGTTCATAGATTGTAATAATTAATATAAAAATGTTCATACTACCCAAAGCAATTTACAGATTCAATTCAGTCCCAAACAAAATACAAACAACATCCTCTCACATCTGGGAAAAAATTACCCTAAAATGTATATGGAATCCCAAGAGACTCCGAATAGCTAAAGCAATCCTCAACAACAAAAATTATGCTGGAGACATCACCATACATACCAAATTTCAAGACATACTACAGGGAAGTTGTAATCAAAACAGCTTTGTACTTCATAGAAATACACATGTCGAACAATGGAACAGACTAGAGACTAGAAATTAATCCATGCATCTACAATCCACTAATATATTACAAATGAGCTAAAATCACTCTCTGGAGAAAGGACAATCTCTTCAACAAATGGTGTTGGAAAGATTAGATCTTTTCATGCAGAAGTATGAAAAAAGACCCCTGCCTTACACCCTATACAAATCAACTTACAACTCAAAGTGGATCAGGGATCTAAATATAAGACCTGAAACCATCAAATCACTAAAGGAAAACATAGGGGATACATTGCAAGATATTGGCATACGCAAAGACTCTTTGGATAAGATCCCAGAAGCACAGACAATAAAGGCAAAAATGGACAAATGGGATTACATCAAGCTAAGAAATTGCTGCACTGCAAAGAAACAGTCAACAAAGTAAAGAGGCAACTGACAGAATGGGAGAAAATATTAGCAAATTAAACATCTGATAAAGGTTTAATATCCAGGATATATAAGGAGCTCAAGAAACTCAACAACAACAAAACAAGAAACCCAGTTAAAACTGGGCTAAAGGGACCGACGCTGTGGCATAGCAGGTAAAGCTATCGCCTGCAGTACATATAGGTGCTAGTTCAAGTCCCAGCTGCTACACTTCAAATCCAGCTCTCTGCTATGGCTTGGGAAAGGAGTAGAAGATGTCCCAAGTCCTTGGGCCCCTGTACTCATGAGGGAAGACCTGGAGGAAGCTCTTGGCTCCTGGCTTTGTATGGGTACAGCTTCGGCCATTGTTTCCATTTGCGGAATGAACCTTTCTCTTTGCCTATCCTTCTCTCTCTGTGTAACTCTGACTTTCAAATAAATAAATAAATCTTAAAAAAAAGAATTGGGCTAAGGATGTGAATAGGCATTTTTCAAAGGAAGAAACACAAATGGCCAATAGGCATATGAAAAGATGCTCATGATCACTAGATATCAGGGAAGTGCAAATAAAAACCACAATGAGGTTTTACCTCACCTCCAACTGGTTATCACACAAAAATAAAAAACTAACAAATGCTGGCAAGGATGTGGGGAAAGGTACCCTAAACCACTATTGGTGGGAATTTAAACTAGTATAACTGTTATAGAAGACAGCATGGAGATTCCTCAGAAATCTGAAAATAGATCTATCACATGACCCAGCCATTCCACTCCTGGGAATGTATCCAAAGGAAATGAAATCAGCATAAGAGAGAATTATCTATAGCAGCTAAACTCACAATAGCTACAGAATAGAATCAACCCATATGTCCATCAACCAATGACTAGATAAAGACATTGTGGTACATATACATAATAGAATACTACTCAGCCATAAAAATGAATTGAATACTGGGACTTGTGCTGTGGTGTAATGAATAAAGATGTCACCCGCAGTGCCGGCATCCAATATGGGCACCAGTTAGGGTCCAGGCTGCTCCACTTCTGATCCAGCTCCCTGCTCATGTGCCTGGAAAAGCAGGAAAAGATGGCCCAAATACTTGGGCCCCTGCACTCACATGGGAGACCCAGAAGAAGTTCCAGGCTCTTGGCTTCAGATCGGCCCAGCTCAGGTCTTTGTGGCCATTTGGGGAATGAACCAGTGGGTGGAAGACGTTTCTTTCTGTCTCTCCCTCTCTCTGTCTGTATTTCTACATCTCAAATGAACAAATAAAATCTTTTTTTAAAAAAAGAATTAAATCCCATATTTCACAACAAAATGGATGTAACTGGAAACCATTAGGCTTACTGAAATAAGCCATTCCAAACAGACAAATATCATGCTTTCCCTAATTTGTGGTAACTAACAAACAAAATACAAAAAAGTGTTGTATGTGAGTGAAATTGACATTTTGAGATTTGATTATTGTTTATAGCCCTTATCTATACTCTTGAGGTATTGTGGGCTTTTTAATTATCACTCATTGAATCCTTTATTTAAATGAGGGCTAAGCTTGTGATTACAAAGCAAATTTAAAATATGCCATTGTAAAAATTAAAGAAAAATAAGAAAAGAAGGAGGAGGGAGAGTGAGAGTGATGTGGGAGAGACGGTAGGGCCAGAAGTATCATTATATTCTTAATCTGTATGTATTAAATACATGAACTTTTTTCCTTTTACATAAATTTAAAAAGAAGTTTTTTTGCCTTTTATCTGATACTTATGAAGGTGCAAAGATATTTTTATATAATGACATGGATGTAGATATATATCAATCAAATCCTTAAATGCAAATGGTGTGATAAAAGAGCATTCAAGTTTATAAACATAGGGAATCTGAGATAACCAGAATCAGAAGAAAAATACATGCAGTCTTTGATAACTTACTATTCCAACAACACAACCACAACTGATTAAATACAATGTTGACTTTAAATAAATATGATTGATTTTTAAAGAAATATGTGCAGTTAAATGTTGTTGTGCCCTTTAAGTAAATAACTCTGCAGTCTGCACACATATTTTAGTAGAACTGCCATTATTGTTTTTATAATAGCCTTTTGAAGCTTGTATTTAAAATCATCTGGTGATTTTTCCTGGCAATAAGTTTTTGTTCCTTGAAAATGGCAATAACTTATAGAGGTCATAAAGTCATTCCAAGCCAAATCTGGTAAAACACGCAGATGAGCTGACATTAAAAATATTTTTGAAGTCAATTGTAACAAGAGTAATGAGAGTAAATTGTCTTCAATTGTTTTTATTTCTCTCTCACATTAATGTGAAAGTATGAATCCCACAACGATAATATATAAATGCTTACA